CTAACCAAAATATAAGAGAGAAATAAAGGAAAGTAATTGACAACAAAATACTATGCTTTTCAATATGAATTTCTCGGAAGGACTACACTAGGAGACAGTGAACTAATCAGATCCTTATAGCTACAGGCAGGTCACAGTTACAAATGGGGACAGACATGGACATGCCTTATTGATGACATGTGCATTCTACTGATGACAGACACAGGTGTGCTATATGGGTGGTAACTGAAACACTACAACCAGCAATGCCACTGGTGATATAATGTTTTCTTTTCTTTTTCCAGCTATGCCAAGCAGTGTGTGGGGTCTTAGTTCCCAATCAGGGACTGAGTAAGGGCCATGGCAGTAAAAGCACCCAGCCCTAAGCACCAGACCACCAGGGAATTGCCATGCTTTTCATATTGATGAATACTTCTGGATAAAGTTCAAAACTATTTTCCCCTTGATTTACAATCTACTATGTGAAAACTACTTTACAATATTATCTAAAGTAGATTTATATTCTAGATTCAAAGCATTATAAATAGATCCATGGCCTGGAGAGGAAAGAAAAAACAGAAGAGGGCTGATGAATTGATACAAGCTTAAGAAACATTTTTTTAAAAAAGCAGTATGTGGATCTTGTCTAGATCCTGATTCAAATTTGCAAAAGACTTTGAGATGATCAGATAAATTTGAACACAGACCAACTATTAGAAAAGACTAAGGCACTACTGATAATGTGGTTATATATGTTTTTAAAAAGCCCTTATTTGTTAGCTACTTTGTGATATATTTAGGAGTGATACGTCACATTATTTGGGATTTGTTTTAAATAATCCAGCAATAAAAGAAAAAAAGGTATACAGAGAAGGAAGGATAAATCAAATGTAGCAAAACAGTATAAAGCCTGAAATGGATCCAATATGATCCAAAGTTTCCATGTAAAAGATTAATTTATTAACACCTTGAGGTAATATACTTCTCAGAATCAATGAAATGCATGACCATAGCGACAGAGAAGAAGACCACCAGGTGAAATGAGATAAAAACAAGGCCAAATGACACTGTCTAGCCGAATGCAAATTTAAACGGGTGAGTCGTCACTGAGACACATGAAGAAACTAGGTGAGGATGTAAATGGAATGAAGTGGAGCCATTAAAACTGATGAAAGCAGTTCAAAAGAGATACAAGCTGAAAAGAATAGAACAAATCAAAACTATTAATTCATAGCTATGCCAAATAGACAAAAGCCTTAAAAAAGCTTCTGACAGACACTGATGTGCAACTTGCAAAATAGCAGTCTTAAGAACTCAGGAATATCCAGAATAATTTTGTATCTACCCATGGAGACAAATAATAGTTTTCAATAAATGAACAAATATAAGATTTATGATATCACTTTGTTGTTTAGTCGCTAAGTCCAACTCTTTGTGACCCTGTAGACTGTAGAACTTATAAACCACAAAACTGGTGACTTCCTTGGTGGTCCAGTGGTTAAGAATCTGCCTTGCAATGCAGGGGACTCAGGTTCAATCCCTGGTCAGGGAAATAAGATCTCACCTGCCGTGGACCAACTAAGCCTGTCTGCCGCAACAAAAACCCAGTGCAGTCGAAGTAAAATAATGATAATAAAAAGAATCAGTTAAAAAAAATACACAAAACTGATAGATTTAATTATACTTTAAGATTTTTAACTCGTGGGGCTCAGAGGGGCCTCTTTTAATACTTTCCTCTCCTCCTTGCTCTCTGTACTCCGATCACACTGGTATCCCTACTTCCCTATCTCGGGTCTCAGCGCTGGTTGTTTCCCTGCCCGGAAGAGTCTCCCACCACACGCACATATCTACCTCCCTTACCTCTTGCAATCTTCTGCTCACACATAGTTCCTCACAGAAGCCAACCCTGAGCGCCCAACTCTGCCTCTACACCCTGGCACTCTGGATCCCCCTTATTCTGCTCTACTTATATATTTGTACATATGATACTTGGTATAATTTCCCCCCTCTCTCATGATCCAGGTCACTCATAGCTGGGTCATATCTACAATTTTTATTGCAGAGGAAGAAGGATGAATGGCTGGCTGGATGGGTGGGTGGAATGAAGGACAACCTAACTGTAGTATGTGGCATATATGGCATTTCAAGTCAATGAGAAAACAATGCCTCTTCAATAATTGGTGAGCACAAACTACTAACTACATGGCAGTTGAGCATATATTAAAATTGCAAACGTGACTTCTAAAACCATTAGAATCTTCTTCACCTTGGTAGAAAAGAAAACCTGAGTACCAACAGGCATTTGGTTGTAACAGATGCATCCTCCTGCCATCTCATGTTCTCAGGTCACCATCAGGTCCTTAGTTTTCTCTCTGCAGCACAACCCAACCCAGGAAGGTGCCTGGTGGCTAGGGAAGAGGGGCTGAAAAAGCCATTCTGCAGCAACCTCCAACAGAAATATTAAATGTGGTACACCAGACCCCCTCACACATGACAGGGTAAGAATGCCCTCCAGACACATCAGCTCCTCTAGGAAGTGTCCCCAAAAGCCCAGAAACGCTCTGGCTGCTGCAGAAAGATCCCTTCTCCAGGGGCAGCGCTATCCAAGAGCAATATAAGAGCTACAGCACAACCACATATATAATTTAAAATTTCCTGGACTTCCCTCGTGGTCCCAGGCGTAAGACTCCTTGCTTCCACTGCAGGGGACATGGGTTCCATCCCTGGTCAGGGAACTAAGATCCCGGACTCACACATGCCACACGGCAACACCAGGGGCAAAAAAAATTCCACAGTAGCCATCTCCATAGTTTTTTAAAAGGTGAAATTAATTTTATGGGCCTCCCTAGTAGCTCAGACGGTAAAGAATCTGCCTGCAATGCGGGAGATCCCAGTTGGATCCCTGGCTTGGGAAGATCCCCTGAAGAATGGAATGACAACCCACTCCAGTATCCTTGCCTGGAGAAATTCCGTGGACAGAGAAGCCTGGGGGACTACAGTCCATGGGGTCCCAAAGAGTCGGACAACACTGAGTGACTAACTTCACTTCTTCAACCCAACATATCTAAGATACTATCATTTCAACACATATGCAATGTTAAAAGGTTATCAAGAGTTTGGATTCTTCCCTCTCCCACCCCCCCCCCGCCCCCGCCCCGCCCAGTAATCTCTTTGATATCAGAGGTGTTTTGCACACCTACAGCACATTTCAAAAGACGTTAAAAACACGGTTAAAGCGAAATGTAGTCTCAGCAAAATAATCACTTTGTGTCGGGGGCATTTCCGGTGGCTCAGTTGTAAAGAACCTGCCTCCAATGCAGGACTCACAGGTTTGACCCCTGAGTAGGGAAGATTCCCTGGAGAAGGAAATGGTAACCCACTGCAGTACTCTTGCTGGGAGATCTCGTGGACAGAGGAGCCTGATGGGGTACAGTCCATGGGGTCGCAAGAGTCGGACACGACTTAGCGACTGAACAACCTTGTGTCTGATGAAAAACAAGTTCTAGACTTCTTCATTATTCAGTTAGATATTAATTAACAGGACGTAAGAATGTAGTTCTCCAGTAGCACTCGCCACAATTCACGCGCTCAGTTTTCGCCCGCAGCGGATGTGCCGCCGGAGTGCACAGCGCAGACAGCACCCGGCGCAAGGCGAGGCCGGGGACTCTGGGGAACTAGCTGTACACCACAAGAACGGGGTACCGGACAACGAGGGAGGGAACGCCGCCCCACCCACAAGGAAGGCAAGCTGTTGGGAGGGGTGTCGCTTCCTCAGCGCGCCTCTCCACAACTCCTTAGGGAACCAGCCCCGCGACACCCAGGCCCACGCCAGGCCCGCGCCTGAGGTCCGAACGCCCGGGCAGGGGGTGCGGGGGGTGCGGTCGCTCTCTTCCTGACCTAGCACTTGGCCAGCCGGTCCACCTCACAGCCCGCGGGCAAGCCCAGGAACTCCTCCCGCGAGGGCCACATCTGCCACCGGCTGGGCGACGCGGCAGCAGCAAAGTTACCGGCAGTCGCGTCCAGCGACTAAAACAGAGCGCGGCGCTTCCCAGCGACGAAAGCCGCCAAGGCAAGTCAGTGCGTCAGCAGGGAGTGCGTCACGGCGCGGCGCGCAGCCTGCCGGGAAGCGTAGTTTGGGGTCAGAATGCGACTCTAGCAGAACGGATGGACTTTGTCCTAGCGCGTTGACCTGCTCAGTTCTCCTCTAGCACGTTTTTTGTTTTTACACCAGTACCCGTAAGCAAAACATAGTGTTGTTTCCACGCTTTTAAGCATTATATAAGTAGCCTTATAACATATTTACCAGCTGATTTTGCACAGTTTTTTTGGTTTTGGTTTTTGTTTTTTAATGATACACAGTAATCCATTTATTTGTGTTCACTGCTGTTTGCTATCTATTGTAGAAACAGACCAATACTCCAATTGGATATTATCATATGTGTCTCCTTGCACACCCATGGAGAGTTTCTCTGAGTAGCGGTTCACAGACTTTTTGCTGTAATAATCCTTTCACACACTATAAATATTTTTTCCAATTTCATTTGAGATATAATTGACATACAGCACAATAAATTTCAAGTGTACAGCATAACGAGTTGACTTACCTATATTGTGAAATGCGTGCCGCAGTAAGTTTCCTTAACTTCAATCGTCTCTTAGAGATACAAAAAAACAAATGAGGTCTCCTTGTGATGAGAACACTTAGGCTCCACTCTCTTAACAGCTTTCAAATATATCCGTGTTAGCTATGTTCGTCATTACATCCTTGTACCCGCATACCCTCCTGAAAGGACGACGGCCTCACCCATCCAGGAGTTAATAGGAGTGATCTCTGTCTGTCCGTCTCTCTCTCTCACACACACACACACATACACTCAGGAGGACTCTCAGAGTTAAGGACCTGGTCCTAGTAAGACTGAGAGGGAAGAGAAGTGAATTTGAATGTTAAGGAAGTTGTTTTCAGAACAATTTATTTTTCAGGAACCAGAAGTCTGATCCAGGATAACCTGATCCTTAGGACTTCATCCCTTGAAGAAATTTTTGATTTTCTGACCAATGCTCTTTATTCTGTCGCGGATTCTGCGCCCAATATGCGGGAGCAACACACTCTGAATCTGTGAACCAGGAGAAAATAGTTGCTTTGGGGGATTGACTCAGCATTAAAACCAGACCCCTTGCCACTTGAACACTCTGATTCCTGGGCCACATCAGGAAGCTTGGAGCCCCAGGTTAGATCCCATACAATGTTTGGAGCCTGTGGTTAAATCGCCACACCACAGACAGATAAGCAAACCAAGGTCCCTTAGGTGACAGGGGGCTTTCCAGGGTCACAAGCCCATCCCAACAAAGCTGGAAGAGAACCAGGATTGAGGGCTCATGACTCGAGTCAATGCCTCTCAAACTTCAGCATCGACAGAAACACCTGGAGGCTTTGGGAAAATACAAAAGGCTGCCCGGCATCCAGGAATCTGATTCAGGTTTGAGTAGGCCTGCGAATCTACCTCTATATCAGTTCCAGGTTGGGACCCCAGTAGGGAACCACTGCTCTAAGGGGCGCAGAGCCAGGACTGGAGACCTGGGGCTCAGCGGTGGGAGGGGCCAGGGTAGGAGGACCTTTCTCTGCCCTGGATGGGGCAGCGGGTCATTGGTCCATACGAAGTTCCACAACCCACCCCTCTAGCAGTCCTTGCAGAACAGAAGGGGCCACTTACATCATTACAGGTGATGTCGGAGTCACCCCTGCTCTGGTACAGGGTGACTGTCCCCACACACTGTTTCACCAGCTGGAAAAGAAGGCTTGAGGTCAAACTAGAAACCCCAGGCCATATCTCCCAGCCACACCCCACCTCACCCCAGGGACTGCAATTCTGTCCCAAAAGCCCCTGTTCAGCTCCCTGAGAAGCATTCTCCTGCTCCTTCAGCCCCCAGGCTCACCCCGTTCTCCTTGAAGTCACACTGCTCCGGGGACTGCTGGCTCGTCCTGGGGCACACAGTCTCCTTCACCCTGAAGCTTGCAGGCTTTCGAGCTCCCCGGTCCTCCACCTGGTCAAAGATCAAAGTGGGGAGACTGGGCTCGGGCTCATGTTTCCTTCTCTGACCTGTCTCCCTGCCCCCACCCAGACGGCAGCCTCTCCAGCCTCCTGTGTGTCCGGCCCTGGGCTTGGTGCTGGGAGCCCAGGGGAGGGGACAGAGCCCGTCCCCGGCCTCATGGGCTCACAGAGAGCAGGAGCGGACCGCACAGCAGCGCTGAGGGCAGCGCCTCCTCGCAGAGGGGCTGAGGGAGGTCAGGGCCACGTGCAGGGAGAGCGCTTGTACCTGGAACCTCCAGGCTGACAGAGGTCTCCCTGGCAGGGAGACACCGCGGTGCAGAGGGGGCTTCAGCAGGGACATCACCTCACAGAGCCTGTGACCCCCTCCATCCCAGGAGCTCCCGGAAGTCCTGGGAGCCAGGTGTGCAGGGCGCCTGATCCCACAGTAGAGATGCTAAGGCAGGAAGCCTGGGGCTGGGAGGGGACCCAGGTCTGGGAAGGTTTCCTGGAAGAGGTGGGAGCCCACCAAGAGGGAGAACTGTCCTTCCTGACAGGAGGTACAGCCTGAGTGAAGGGGACGACAGTGTGGCCAAGGGTGTCAGGAGACAGATCCCCTTCCCAGCCCCCTCCCCAACTCACGTCCTGCTCTGGAGGCGGGTCTAGCTCCAGGAGGCGGTAGAGATTAGCTTCTGAGGACTGCTCATTGAACTGATCCACAGCGCGAAGCACAGCTCTCCTGTAGATGTAGCCCTGGGCGCTGGCCGAGGGCAGCACTAGTCCCAGCAGCAGTAGCCACAGTGACCACCGTCCCAGGGAGAGGCTGGCCCTCTGGGTCTCCATGGTCCCCAAACTACTTCCTCCCAGCCCGAGGGACCCTTCTTTTATGCTCAGCCTGAGCCCTGATGCAAAGGCTCAGCCAGGAGTCTTCCTGACCCGCCCCACCCCTGCCCTCCTCCCAGGGTGTGAGGTGGACTTGCCTCAGCCCCTGCTGTTGCTTCATGGGATTGCTGGGCAGTGGGCAGGGAGGCCCCTGAGCAAGGTGAAGAAATGGTTTCTCCATCTCCTGGACAATGTCTTGGCCACTGCTGGGGTCCATGGGAAGTGTCACAGGGAGGCTTGCTCAAGAAGATTGAGTCCTCCAGGAGAGGGAGGGACCACACACTGTCTATATCTCCTCGGCTTCCCCTCTAAGGTTTCTCAAGATTCAGGGTAAAGGAGTGTATTGTGCACTCAACCTTCAGCTCTCAGTACTGCCTAGGACCCAATAGGGCATCATTTAATGCTGTCTGACAGCACTACTCACACCTAAGGCTTATACACACAGCTCGTCCCTAGGCAGACACCCCACACACACACACACCATCTTTTTCGCTGTGCCCAGGCCCAGGGAGTGAGTTCCATTCCTCCTCTCTCCTGGATTCCTCTTCATTCCTTTCCGCAGTCTACTAATGGCTTGTCCTCAGACCCCACAAACATGGCCTATTGTCCCGGCCCCTCCCCAGCAGAGCCTGGGGAAGTGTTACCGACACCACCCCCAACAATTCTTTGCTGGCTTACACCAAGCCCATCGCAGGCTCACCAGCCCTCCCTAGATCCAGAGGCCACACTCAAGCCTTGTCTTATCGCCCTGTGGCGATAAGACACTCTGTCCTCCTGAAATTGCCCCTGACCAATTGTCCCCTGTCCCTGCTCTCCTGGGTCCCCTCCTCCCTGCGTGTTCCTGCTGACTCTCCTCCACGGACTCTCCTCTTAGGAGACAGGGCTGGCTCAGGTGCATCTGGGCTGCTTCACCTCCCAGTCCTCAAATGTTCCTGGGACGGCCCTCCTGTAGAAACCAGTTCTCATGCACATCATCACTGCTCTGTGTCTCTGGGTTCAAGACTCCCAAGAACACCCTGGTTGTCTGCACTGGGCTGTTGGCGGGGTGCTGTTGCAGGAGCCCTGAGCTGGAAGGCTGGGAGCCCCACCTGCTCCTTCTTCCTCCTGAGGACACTCCCCTGACCTGCCGCCAACCCTGCCTAGTCCTACTCCTGTCTTCTCCCCTTTTAGCGAAGCCACAACCTCCAGTCTCCACGTTTCAGAAGCTGGAGAACACCGGTTTCTCCCTGACCACTGCCCACCCTCCGCAGTATTCCCTAGTGCTCCAACACACCGCCCATTTGACCATGTCACCCCCTCCCTCCAGAGCCCACACCACCCCCACCCGGCATCAGGGCCTAAACGGTTGCTGTTCTTACTTGTCATCACCCCACACCTGTGGGCCTCAGGTGTCAGGCTGCCCTGTCCACCCCAACCCCTCAGGCCACTCAGAGCCTCCAGCCTGTCTCCCATCTCTGCCCCCGATCCCTCTGCTTGCCCTGCTCTTCTTCCTTGGGAAGCCTTCAGGGATCTTCAGGCACAGAAGGCACCTCCTCCTCTTCTCTGACACAGTCTTCAGGACATCCCTTCTAGTCTGACCCAAAAGTGACTCCGTGTCCAGTCAAAGCACCAACCAGAGTGGCCAGTGCTGGGGAGTAGAGGGAGTGCAACTGGGAGAGATAAGAAGGCAAAATGTTAGAGCCGACCAGAGGCCGTGAGGCAAATTCTAATCCAGTTTCCCTTGGGATGGCCACGGGACTGCAGTTCGGGGGTAGCTCTTGGCCACTGTTGGCCTCTGGGACTCGGATAATTATCTGGGACACCACGGAAGATGGCAGCTGGATAGATGGTGGTGGTTACACACTCAGTCTTGGAGAAGGAAGGAGAGGTGGGCTTCCATGAAACTTTGTTTCCTTGTACAGGTTTGACCCTGGACTGTGGTCAAGTGGCCTCTTGGTCATGCTGAATCCTTTTCCCACATCAAAGGCATAAAGGGCCATGATTATATAGAACATAGTTAGCAATACACTTAATGACTGGTGTCTGGTAACCCTCAAAAATCTCTCTGTGCTTTCCTGCCTCTGGGCCTTTCACTCTTACACTCTTCAGACTGAAGTCCTCTTCCCCCATCCATCCCTGATCCTTAGGAGGGTCCCACATCCGGGTTCTCAGGCTGCACTTCTTGTGATGCGAAGGGTGAACCTTCCATGCCTCCAGCATCCAGCTTTCCTGGCTTAGTCCTCACAGCCTATCAGAAGTGAGGTCTGCTCAGGAGAGACATCACAGTCCTCATCTTAGATTGTTTTCCCCCGCCGCCACACCTGGTCCTTGAGAAATCCACATGCACCATTTCCCCAGCAAACTCAGGTGTGAGCCCGGATCCTGCATCGCCCCCTCCTCTGCTCCTCCCAGCCAGCGTCATGTCCATGAGACTCATGGGCATTGCACCTGCAGGCTTAGCCCTGAGAATCAACTGCGTCTCTGAGTGCTTCAAAGGTCAGAAGCCTGGCCCCTCGTGGACTGGCAGCTCCATGTGAGCAGGGTCAGCATTCCCACCAGCACTGCACACACAGCAGGTCTCCTTAGGTCCGACTGGGTGTTGGAGGAGGGCAGGGGCGGGTGAAGGGCTCAGGAGAGACCCGAGGGTGGAGACTGTGTCCTGGGCCTCCTGGGGCTGCTGCCTCCCGCGTGCCCTCCTGGAAGGAATAGGGGCCTCACCCTCCTCTGTGTTCACAGGAGTGATCACACACACACATACACTCATGTACACACACATAGACACATAGATGCACACATACACACACACCCTCACGAGATATGGAATAGTTAAAGATTCCTTCTTGATAAGTGTGAGGAGAGGAGACAATGAAATTGAGGCCTGGAGGATATTCATATCACAAGAATTTATTTTTCAGATCCAGTAGCCTGAGGCAGAGCAAGAAAACCCTTAGGACCCTTCTCTGCCTTATGATGGAAATCTTCAAGCGCTGATTATCTGCAAACCCTTATCACGACGATGCGACATACTCGGGCTGCTTGTGGAGGCGCCCATGGTTGCTTTGTAATCCTGATGCTCTGGTGCTGTGAAAAAGAAAGGAACACAGGTTGCTTCTTGGTACTGCATCACCATCAACCCAACATCCTTCCCTACCTGGACCTCCCATTTCCAGGGTCACACCAGGCTCCTCGGGCACCAGTTCACCTCTGGCTGTGATATTTGGAGCATGAGGTAGAATCCCCACACTCACAGATAGATGAGGAAACTGAGGGAAGACAAGGGCTTCCCAGAGTCACAAGCCCATCCCAGCAAAGCTGGAAGGAAGCATGAATTGAGAGTTTGTGACTCTCAAAACTTTAAGGCAGTCAGAGTCCCTCAAAGTCCTGGGAAAAGACAAATGGCTGGACCCTGCCCTGGAGTCCAATTCAGGTGGTCTGAGTGGGGCTGAGAATCTGCCTTTCTGACAAGTTCTCTCGGTGGAGACTGCAGTAGAGAAACACTACTCTTAGGGACACACAGCCAGGACTGGAGACCCGGGGCTCGGGGAGGGAGGGGGCAGGGTAGGAGGGCCTTTCTCTGCCCTGGATGGGGCAGCGGGTCATTGGTCCAAAGGAAGTTCCACAACCCACCCCCACGGCAGTTCCCACTGTACAGAAGGGGACACTTACATTATTACAGGTGATGTCGAAGTTACCCCTGACCTGGTCCAGGGTGACTGTCCCCTCACACCGTTTCAGCAGCTGGAAACGGAGACTCAAGATCAAAGTGGAACCACCCACCCGCAGGCCATAACCTCCCAACCTCACACCAGGGGCTGGGAATCTTGCTGGAAGTGCCCTGTTCAGCCATCTGGGAAGCATCCTCCTTGCTCCCAGCCCCCAGGCTCACCCCATTCTCCTTGAATTCACACTGCTCCGGGGGCTGCTGGGTGGTCCTGGAACACACGGTCTCCTTCACCCTGAAGCTCACCCGCTTCGGGGTGTCTGGGTCTTCATCCTGGTCAAGGATCAGAGTGGGGAGACTGGGCTCGGGCTCAGGCTTCCCTCTCTGTTCTGTGTCCCTGCTCCCCCACCTAGAGGGTCCCTTTCCCAGTCCCCTCCCTGACTCACATCCTGAGGAGGCTGGTCCAGCTCGAGAAGACGGTAAATATTAGGTTCTGAGGATTGCTCATTGAGCTGATCCACAGCACGAAGCACGGCCTCCCTGTAGCTGAGGGCCTGGGCGCTGGCCGAGGGCAGCACTAGTCCCAGGAGCAGTAGCCACAGAGACCACCATCCCAGGAGAGGCTGGCCCTCTGGGTCTCCATGATCCCCAATCTGCCTCCTCCCAGCCGGAGGGACCCCCTTTTATGCTCAGCCTGGCCCTGTTGCAAAGACTCAACCTGACTTGCCCCATCCCTGCCCTCCTCCCAGGGTGAGAGGTGGACTTGCCTCAGCCCCTGCTGTTGCTTCATGGGATTGCCGGGCAGTGGGCAGGGAGGCCCCTGTGCAAGGTGAAGAAATGGTTTCTCCATCTCCCTGACAATATCTCGGCCTCTCCTGAGGTCCATGGTAGTGTCACAGGCAGGGTTGCTCAAAGGGGTTGAGTCCTCCAGGCGAGGGAGGGACCAGGCACGGTCTACATCCCCTCTGACTCCACACCATGGGCTCCTCAGGATTCGGGGTGAAGGAGTGTATCAGGAGTCAGCCTCCAACACTTGGCACTGCCTGGAACCCAGTAGAGAGTCACTTAACATTTGGTGAGGGGATGACAGTACCACATCTAAAGGTACATACCAGAATTGATGGGAGAGCACTGTGTGACCATACCATTGTGGCTAGGCTCTATGGGAATGTAAATTGTAAATCCTCTGTAAAACACAAAAGATAGGAAGGGAAGGGAGTACTCGCAGAGACAGGTCATGTTTAAACTTGAACTTCTCCTGAATGGGTCACTCCTTTGCAGGGTTACAGTTGCACTAACAAGATTATCTCCCCCAGTGGGC